TTTTTTCGTTCCGGACTATTTTTTTAANCCAAAATACAAGTTACATGTTAGTCTATGTATTATCTCTAACAAATCTCATAAATCCTTCAAGGCCCGGAGGAATTTCAGTTGGTGGTGGTGGAAAAGAAGCTTGTTCATCACCGCTTCGAGGCGAAGAAGCATCCTGCGCAAGTTCCGCTAGCATTTCTTCATAAGCTTCATCTATCTCCGATTGTGATTCTGCAAGTCCAAAATTTCTTCTTTCCTAACAGATCCAATCTCTGAAGAGTACTGATTTTTCTAAGCTCTCCCTCATAGACGCTCTATGATCACTGATTTGAAGTCTCGCTCGACTGAATGCGCTCTCCGATGCCACTGTTGAAGCTTGAACACTTAAAATATCTCGAGCCATCCTTGAAAGAACCGGATAGTGTTTTTGTTTGTCCTTCCACCATTCCAAAACATCTAAGGAGCCGTCGGGATTCTCTGATTCAAGTCCCTGCAACAAATAAACTTGAAGCTCATTTAATTGTGAACTATCACCAAAATTATCACCTTGAGAACCACTGAACTCCGTACAAGAACTAAGGGCTTTTAGGCCCGCAGTTCTTTTAGATGCTTGCGAACTAGACGAAGTTGGAGTTGGAACATTTGGTCTAGCTTGATCTAAGGCAAATTGATAAGCATTATAAATTGTTTGAACATTTATTTTAATTGAGGCTTTTGCATCTCCAAGTTTAGCAAATTCCTCAGCTGAAAGTGATAAAACGTTATAAATTTTTGAATACCAAAAGTGAGGACCTCCTAATTTCATTGTAGGATTTAACAATGCAGCAACACCAAAAATAGGGGGATAGGGAAAAAATATTTTTTAAACTTAGCTTTCATAGAATTAATAGCTTCTTGATAAATTACACCACCCTCTGAAAATTGAGTAAATAAATCTACAAATGCTGCAATATAAACTAAACAGTTAGAAATAGTAGGGGTTAAATACATAAGTACCCAACTGACCAATGACCCAAATCCCCTTTACACACTTTTTGTGGACAATAATAGTATTACACACGCAACCTTTCTAAAGTGTATCTAGTACATACCATTTTGACTCGCGTGTTTACACACAAAAGAAGCGCGTGAAATTTGAGTTTTTGCTATTATATTATTTATTAAAGTGCCACGTGTTCAAATTTTATTTAATTGGGTCACAACCCCTTATTCTCCATCTTCATCCTCTGAACTCACTCCCCCAATTTGTGGTGTAGATAAAGGACGTGGCATTGAAAGCATCAGGAGCATATAAGTAAGGTACTCCATGTTCAACTCTGCCGCCGACGTCTCTATGGAAGAACAGAAGCCAAAATGATACATTGGACTCGATGTCGTCAGATAAATTCCGGTAGTCACACAAGAGAACAGGTAGTTCGAGTTCTAGCTCGGCAGCAGGGAGGAAGGAACTGAATGCGAGGGAAAAGGGATATCGAGCAAGGAAATTACACTGGTGTCGGCGTTTCGAGTGACCAGCGAGGTGAACCGGTGGTGTTCTTTGAAGAAAGCGAACCTAAAGAGTGGGTGGGTCAGGTTGAGCCGGCCGTGTTAACTTCATTGGAGAAACCTAACTAGTAACGCAATTCCGTCAACTTTTGATTGAATTTCCTCCTCGATTTGGTTTTGCATCTGTAATTTTAAATCAAATGGCAGTAATGATTTCAAAAAGTTGGCTTATAGCTTAATGACCATATTTGATGACAAGGAATATTTTGGTAGAATGTTCTTGGTTGTCTCCATTTTAAAACCTGCTCTATAATGGTGTTGCAGGTATAATAGTGTTGCAGGTATTTGTTGAAGAAGATGAGGGCATATTTGTAATTTTATATTTTATATTTTTATTTTTAAGTTTATAAACAAAAGTCAAACATGTGAAATACATGAATGAACTTTTTATGGGACCTGGTCAAAAGAGGTGTGTACTAGATACAGTTTAAAAAAGTTGCGTGTATAATATTATTATCATCCATAGAAAGTGTGTAAAAGGGATTTGGGCAATAGGTCAGGTGACAAGTTATGTATGTTGCCAAATAGTAGGATAATATTGGCCAGATAATTCATTTGTAGCAATATGAAATTGTTCTAAAAAGTCTACAAGCATTTTAACATTACTCCAATCTTGATTTGTAAGGTGCTCATCATTATCATCATCATCATCACCACCACCTACACGAGCATTATACGTTGCGCTTATTGGGTTCCTATATTCATATGCAACAACTAAACTTTCATACATGTAATTTCATCTAGTTGAACAAGCTTTTGGAACCTTTCTTTCTCNGGGTTCCTATATTCATATGCAACAACTAAACTTTCATACATGTAATTCCATCTAGTTGGACAAGGTTTAGGAACCTTTCTTTCTCTAAGGCCAAATTCATCACATTTTTTAAAATAGTCTCTAAGTCTACTTCTACGGTTTGAATAAAAAAGCCAATTAAGAGCCATTTTAACCTTTTCAATTTCTACATTTAAAACTTTCATACCAGCACCGACGATTAAATGGTAAATATGACAAATACATCTAACATGAAAAATATTACTAAATGCAGGATTTAGTGTAGTTGTAAGCAAGCCTATAGCATTAGTGTTACTAGAAGCATTATCCATTGAAACCGACATAATTTTATCTCTAATGCAAAAATATCTACAAATATCTGCAACTGTGTTAGCAATAAACTTACCTGTGTGGCGTGAATTAATTATTCTATAAGCAATAATGAGCTTTTGCATTATCCACTCATCATCTATCCAATGACTTGTAACAATTAGATAATCACAGTTATTACCACTTCTACCAATATCAGTAGTAATAGTAATGCGACAATCTATATGAGTAAATAAATAGCGCAAATCTTATTCATGTTTATGTTTATAAATATCGCTCTTTACGGTTGCGCGAGGCCATCCTTTATAAGTAGGATTAAAAACTCTTATAATATAATGCACAAAATGAGGGTTAGAAGGAAAACTATAGGGTAAGCACATAACAGTAACTATTTTTGCCAATTCTTCACGATCTTTATTTAGATCATAATATAAAATACCACCGGTAACAGTGTTAATTCCCGGTTGAACTAGATTTGAACCTGTACTAGGGTTAACCGTAGTATCTACACTTGTCCCCTCTTGCGCATTTTTCATTTATAAAAATCTAGTTTTTTCTCTAGGGTGTGTCTTTATGTGTCTAGTCAAACTACCCGTACCGCTACGGTCTCCAGTAAATTTATGAACTAGTTGAGACCCACAAGTTTTACACTTAGCCTTATTTTGTTCTCTTCGTTGAGTAAAAAAGTGTCAAACAAGAGATATTTTAGGTCGTTTAGCAGGTTGTCTATTAAAAGTAGGGGTTACTACAGGAGGGTCAGGCGGGGCATCATTTGGGTTACTAACAGGACTAGTAGGTGTATCATCTAAATCCGGTTGCGTTTCATCTAAATCATCATTTTTCTCATCATTTTCACAGATAGTTTCATTAGGATAAAGGGCATTCATAACTTCTCCATTTAATTGTTGACCTGGTGCAACATCATGGCAAAATTGGCCATCGAAAAATTGAAAACAAGGGTTATCACTATCAAGAATAATAGGTGGAGGAGGACGGGTAACAGGTCTGTGTCGGGGAGCCGAGGGAAGAGTAGTAGCTTGGCTACTAGATTCACCAATTTTAGATTTTCCCTTACCCTTACCACCAAAAAAAAATTTCAAAGAAAATGCTATATTAATTATAATTATACTAATAAAAGTAACAAAACTATAATATTAAAACTTCAGAGTTGGAACGAGTTTACCAAATTGACGAACAACTTCTTGAAAATTGAATATCGTTGAAGACTTGAATACTTCAATTCACCAACTTCATAATTTTTCATGAAATTGCAATAATAAAGTAAGCAATTATAGAAGAAAATTAGAGAGAGATTGATGAATTTGTGAGTAAAAATGAAAGAATGTGGGGGTATTTATAGTTGAGAATTGGAAAAAGTGTAATTATAAAAAGTTTGAGGGCCAAATGGCTATTTTGTAAAGTGCTAAACGGTTGAATTTTGATGGCCAACGGCTAGATTATAAAAATCTGACCGTTTTTTTTAAAAAAAATAGTCGTTGGTGCCCGTTTGGCCCGTTGGGCCCGGTTGAACTAGCCCAGGCCCGCCTGCCGGTCCCGGGCTTAACGGTTCCGAGCTCACGGGTTATTTGGGTTGGACCGGCCCGCTACGGACTTATGCACCACTAGAGATCGGGCCCGCTTGAACCGGCTTTGGTCCTGGGCCGGTCCCGGACCACAATACAGCCTTAGCTTCTGCTTAAAGCTCCCCTTTTAGGTTTGAATAATAGTTGGAAAGTGCGGTTTATGAGGCAAGCAAAATGACCAAACTTTTACTACTCTAATTAAGGAATGTTATTGTTGCATTGGTGGATAGGTTTGAACTACTAAAGTACAGATTGATTAATGACTATCTTACGGTTGCAGTTTAATATTCAGAAAATTCTAATATCACATGACCAAGTTAAGTAGAAGCATGTTATGCCGGGACATTTTGTAAGAGCTCTGAATTTTTTTTTCGTGTCATAAAATATATAGAATCTGACCAACTACTTTTGTCACCATGGTATCCAGGAAAAACTTATCTATATTCTGTTTACACTACTCTATTGAATACATAATATTTTTCTTCACATACATTGTTTCTACTAAATCATTAACTAATGCACCTTGTTCTCACTTAAATTTATCATTTAATCATGGTAAATTAATATGATTTGATATATAAATTGAGTTGAATCTATCCAGCATCTCACCAAAAATCAATCTTTCTCTGTTTTGAAGAGAAAGGAACTGAAGCCATCTAAGAAATTTGTAACTTTGGGCATGTCCATCTTGATTTTTGTACCAAAATGAGTTTTTAATGCTCTAGGTTTGCCACTAATCACCATAAAAGGAAAAGGAAAAAAAAAATACACGCTTCACTGTATTCACCAATTCTTGTTTGCTACAAGACAGAAATATTTGTACTGAAAATGATAAACAGGAATATTTGGTACAAGAAAATGGTCATATTATAAGAGTAGAAGAAAGGGGAAATCAAAAGTATAATTATACAACTGTCTTATTCATCCTTTCATATCGTAAAATGCAATATTTTGAACTGCCCTACTTAAACCAATACGTACTAATTGTTTTGTTTTTCACCAGCTTTATTTGTACCAGACCACCAATTCCTCAATAGTCAAGCCACTCCAGAATTAATCTTCAATTCCTCCTTGAGATTCTCTTTCTCCAATATTATATGTATATCTGAATAAAAGCAAAAGAAAAATGGGCATGGGCGGGCTGCTTTCTGTAAAAAGTAAGCACGCCGCTGCCTAAGAACCCAAGAACTCTAAAATCATATTCTTTGACCATTTTCTGTATATCAGAACTGAGTGTGGCTTGAGAATGTCTGTCCAAATTTCCAACCAGCTGGAACAACATTTAAGAATGTTTTTGTGACACCATCAGTGGTAGTGACCTTAAAAGATATAGATTGTCCATCAAGATATGCATTGGATTGCCAACTTGCTCCCCAATTCCTAGACATGGTCAACCAGTTTGTGTTTGAGCCTTTGATTTGAACAGATTGAACAGATCCTGCCCCTGCTACATTGCTTACCAAGACTAGTTCAAAATAGTCCCTTCCATTGATTGTGAATCTAACTCCATGTTTCTTCTTGCAAGGAACTCTGCTCCACAAAAAACATCAAGTATGTCAAATCAACTTGTCTGGTAAAAATGTGAAGGACTCATAGACGAAGTTACAATTTGAAGTTTACGGGTTCAGTATTCTAGTCTTTTTAAGTTACTGGGTTCTCAACTAATAATTTTTACATAATAAATGAGTTTTACAAGACAAATACAAAGTTTGAACCAAAGTTACTAAGTTCAGTCAAACCCGTAATTTGGTGTATGGCTCCGTCCCGGAAAGGACTTATGTTTAAGTCAACCCGAAAATCTAATTTATAAGGCGTGAAGTGTCTAAGACCTTACAAGGACATAACATCTCATTCTCCCAATCAATATGAGATGTTCTAACACCGTAAGAAGGATGAACAATATAACACGGAGGCCTAACATTAATATTGGATAAATCAAGAAGTACAAATATACCTGCCTCTGATACCTTATAAAGAAATGGATATTAAACCTAACTCAATCTCAAAGTTAGCTTATAAGATGAGAACTGCACAGTACTATATGATGAGACAATGTTCCATTCCCTCAATCAAAAAGGAATGTTCTAACATTATCTTAGAACTTTACTACTATAAATCATGCCAAGAATCTTGACAACTCTTAGTGGAACTAATCTCATTTAGAATGAAGATTGTGTCATTCTATGGACTAATAATATGTAAATTAAATGAACAATGAGGACTACCTTTTGTAGAGCACGGGAACAATGCCTCCTTTGTAAATACCAATCTTTTCCCAAGCAGGTTGAGCCATGTCGAAATGGGGACGAGGAGGGTTACACCAGCCTCCATTGTTACTAGGAAGATTGTAATTTGGTGGGCAAAAATTTGTAGCTGTAATTGTAACAGATACTCCCTTCTTGCACCATGCGGGGTCTGCCTTATAATCACAGATGATCTTGTAGCATTGGCCACAGGATCCTCCATCATTGAACAATGCAGTGCTCAATGCTGCTGTCCTTGTTCCATACCCTGTTGAATACAAGTTTCCATATCCACAAGCACCACCTACAAAATTACCAAATCACTTGTTATTAATCAAGATTCCAGTCAATTACAAGGTCCAATTAATTAGTATGATGTTGAGAGATGTTGTGTCTTTAAAAATGGATCCAACATATAAGTAGTGGGTGCACCTAGTCTCGAATTTTATAAACGCGTAAAGGAATTTTAAAGAAAATATGTGTATATACAGAGGTGCACCTACTACATTAAAATCTTGGATCCGTCTCTATCTACGTACCCATTGTGCCAGAAGCATCAGCTCCACCATAAAATGTGGCATGAGCACTTGACCATCCAGAATCTGCTGAAAAACCATTTGCACTTAAGAAAATGGTGCACAAACCAATTATGAATCCCAGTGCTAGAATGCCATTGTTGCCCATTTTTCTTAGTGGTTTCCAATAGCAGAAGAAATAACAAGATTGGTGAAGAAAATGAGGAATTAATTGGAGCTATGGTGAATTCTACAGTAGTACTGACATAACCAAGAAAAGTGATTGTTACTTAAATAGGTGCACTGTTTATTGATACAACCACCTCACATGTGATCACTGCAACTAGAGGGGGAAGAAAAAAATAAGAACTTTTAATATAAAATTAAATTATCTCTGCAGAAAACTGCAGACTTCAGACCTCATTCAATTATTCCCACGTTCAACTTCTTAGCCCACATGGTTTTCCCAAGTGAGAAGCAGTGAATGCATCAAAAACCCATCTCAATTTGTCATATTTTTCTAATGTTTTTTCTTGGTTCTTTATGAAATAAGGCTAACACATTCAATGTTCTATTACCAAGTAGAGAATAATTTTTCTGTCAAATTGTGATGTTACCTCACATGGCTTTGATTGACCTACATGCCTCTGAGTTATGTCTTATCATTATTATCTGTAAATGCACATGTGGTGATATGAGGCCTCTGTCATTTGCATGCTTGTTTTCCAAGTCTAATTTAATAGGAGCATTATATTTTAGCTAGGAGTATAAATAACTTAATTATCATTAGTTACCAAAAGAGATAGTTGCCTAAAATCCATGGATAAAATGAATGTCATTATGTCCCTATTACTTAATATTTCACGAGTCACACAGTATGTTCATTTTTTATGATTTGAAATTTTTTAAAATACAATTTAATTATAAGAACTGTGATTTATGACAGTTTTCATATATGATATCTAAATATGCAAAGTTTGTTGTAATAAACTTGAGAAACAATTTAATTTCTAATTATACAAAAGTTGGTTTAATAAACTTAAGAAACCTACGTATGGGACTCACTGAAAAATAGGGCATTAACTCTTGCCCATCGTATTCTGTCCGTGACAGATGGAGTAATATTTCCTGGAAAATGGAAATCTATCCTTCTACATAAATCCAAAGTTAAATTAATTCGCAAAATCAAATAAAATCATCTTAAAAATCGATTTGTAATTGGTTTGGTACTCTTTGGTGTAAACTTAAAAAAAAGAAACTCATACTTACTTTGATATTAAGCTAGAAAAGGATGAAGACTGAAGCGAAATCGAACTAAATTGACACCTCTGCCACTTCGTAAATTTTTAATTTTTATATATAAAAGTTATTTTTATAGAAAATTTTAAATAAATGGCTCATCGTATGTGGGTTGCAATCGTTCTAATGGTAATTAATTAGGCATTCATGATCCTTGTTCTACTCTTCTTCGTTTGAAAATATGTCAGGCTTAATGTTGGCCAAGACTAACTCATACTTGTTGTTTATATCAGCTCAATAAATACATGAAGTATGTCTTTGCACTCTTATTACTAAAGATAATTAATTAACATATACATTCTCATGTGTAACTTAAAAAAGAACACTCCGATACGCAAAGTATTCTGTATTCACACAGGGTCTGAGGAAGGCCCGCACTCCAACGAGTGTGATGTATATAATCTATCCTAATGCAAGCATTATCGGCTGTTTCCACGTCTCGAATCCATAACCTATAAGTCACAAGTAAATAACTCTGACGTTGCTCTAAAGCTCGACTTTACCTTGGCGCAGTATTTTGTAACAAATGTTCATGAATCTGTATCTTCATTTAGTATAGCAAAATTAAACAAAGAAATTAATCCAATTAATCAGAACTTCTTGTGTGGTCGGCATTTGTTGGCTGATCGTGCATTTTCATGATTGATTCCAAGTTGTTACCTTAACAGCCAGCAGGGCGCGTGTGGAGGAAAAGAAGAGAGTTTCTTTAGATCCTTGGACTTTATTGATAAAAAATAAGTTAATGATATATCCTTGAACATGAAAAAAATTTAATTGGTTTCAAATATTAACAACTATTAACTGTACATGCGATTATCTTCTCCACTATAAAGCACATCAAAATTGATTCTAAAGTACTTTGGGGGTGGGGTGGGGGTAGCGGGCAAAGATGACGAGGTGCTTCTTTACTTTCTGAAAAAGAAGTAACTAAAGGGAATCTGGTAAGAGATGCTTTCTTTAGCCAAAGTCTATCGAAATATCCTCTCAATCTTCTTATACTATTCTTGCTAGACCTCCTACTGTGATTATTATTTAGTTGTTTACATTAAAGGGAGCCACTTTTTCCTGCAGAGTGAAGGACACATTCTTTCGTCTAAGATAAAATAAAATATAGTCTCTTTATTCATAGTGGATTATTCTCTTTATATGAAGTTCAAAAAGTGAGAAATATTTGTTTAGACCAAAAATCATTATCCTTACAACTTATGATAAGATCAAGATATACCCCAAATTAAATTAAATCGAAAAATCAAATAAATTAATCATCTTAAAATCTATTTGTAATTTGGTTTGGTACTCTTTGGTGTAAATTTTAAAAAAGAAACTTTTACCTAATTTGATACTAAGCTAGAAACGGATGAACCGAAATCGAACTAAATTTACAAGTCTCTGCCACTTCATAAATTTTAATTTATATATAAAAAATCTATATTTATAGAAAATTTCAAATAAATGGCTCATCTTATGTGGGTTGCAATCTAATGGTAATTAGACATATTCTTGATCGTTGTTCTACTTTTCTTCTTTTGAAAATATATCTAGCCGTGGCTTAATGTAGGTCAAAACATACTCGTACTCATTATTTATACTGAATCAATAAATACAAGAAACATGTCTTCACATCTTATTACTAAATTATAATTAATTAACACATACAGTCTCACCTTAATGTATAACTTAATCATGATAATTAAGTATTATTAGGCTCTTGGCGCAGCATTTTGTAATAGATGTTTGAAGGAATCACATGAATCTGCATCTTCATTTAGTATAGTGATGGTAGGCTAGAAATATGGGTTTTTGGCTAGGTTGCACATGTTATTTACTATACTTTAGTTGTGGTTGAGCTTAAATGTGAAGTGTTTATACTCATTACGTGATTTTTATGTGTAGGGTGTAATTCCGAGCTATGACACATTTTTGGAATTAAAACGGATAATTTGGAGCTTTGAAGTGTAAGTAGAAGCCCAAAAAATTAACCAGGATCGTTTCTGGAGTTCGAAGATCAACTCTGGATATTAAAATTGAAGAAAATTGATAGCACAAAGAATTGTACTAATGAGCCTCATGGTTGCCGCGACTGTGCAAATGTTGTTGTTTTTGACAAAATACAAGGTCTTTGATAAAGTGAACTAGCGCGGCGCATGGCGGCGGACCTGTAAAACTTTCGGCCCAACTTTTCCTACTTCGCTTTGGAGAGGGTAGTTTTATCTGGACCCGTTTCTACAGGGTATAATAACACTAAAAATACGATTTTGAGGGGACTTTTGACCTATAGAGGATTGAGAGAGCATTGGAGGCTTCAAGACACAAGATTTCACTATTCTTTACCAATTCAATACGCGAGTTTAGATTGTAATGTTGGGTTTATGTTTTCTATGTTCTTGAACTTATTTGTAATTACTTTCCCCATGATTGTAGAGTAATTTGCCTTAAGGTTTGACATGATTTAGTGACTTGATTATTATCTATGGAGTTGTTTATTATTTGATTGCTTTAATTTATTGGAAGAGCTTTAGCTCATTTAATTCGTTATTGTGGTTAATCGGAATACAAGCATAATATTGAATTTTGTTGCAACTCGGGTCAATTTGTTTTGGTATTTCCTTAAAGTAATTGAAAGAGTTTTGTGATCTACCGTTTGAATTAAGATGAGAAATTTCCTTAAGAAGTTTCTCTTAGACCATTCTTACTAGTAGATTCTTGCAAGTTTTACTGCACTTCATATTAGCTTATTTGAACGGTTTAGGTTTAATATAGAGAGGAATATGAATCGGAATAATAAGAAATAACCTATTGAATTCGTGAGAATCAATAGAATATTAAAAGTGAAATTTAACAGTGTCAAATCCGGGATAGAAGTCTTGTACCTTTAATTTCCGTCAGAGGAGGTGGTTAGAGCTGCTTAAGGATTATGATATTACTATTTTGTACCACCCGGGGAAGGTCAATGTGGTGGCTGATGCCTTGAGTTGCCAGGCGGAGAGTTTGGGGAGTTTGGCTTATTTACCAGCAGCAAAGTGGCCCATGGCGATGGATGTTCAGGCCTTAGTCAGCCAGTTTGTGAGATTGGATATTTCGGAGCCCAGTCGGGTCCTAGCTTGTGTGGTTTTTCGGTCTTCCTTGTTTGATCGTATCAGAGAGCATCAGTTTTGTCACACCTCCTTTTTCCGCCCTCGCGGGGGTACAGGAGTTTTTTCCAATTAAAGGACAGT